AAAAAAATGAAAAATTTAAAAAACTCAAAATCATATTTTACTATTCCAGAATCCCACCAGGTCTTTAAACAAAAACTTGTACAAGTCTTTTTGTCATCTAATCGGTTTTGCATCGCACTTAATGTATGCTTGGTGACCGAGAAAGCTTCTTTACTTAGAACACTAGTTGCCTGCGCAATAAGGTAATCACGAGCTATGTTAACAAAAGGTAGCCATTGTAAGTTTAAAGATCTTGATTTCCAAAATGCAAGAGGATCTACATTTTTATCAGGCATATTCGGATAATCATCTAATATATTATGACTATATAACATATCATTATAGGCTCGTTTCAACTGAGTTCGGAAGTAGTTGCAAGCTGAAATTAATTGATTTACTTCTAAAATTTGTTCATTTGTATTTTCATCAGGTGGGACGTAATTTTGATATATTTTTTTAATTATCTGATGCATGTTGTCTTTTTTTAAACTAGAACAGAAAGTAGAAAATTTAGATGACAGATCAAGCAATACAGCTTCTAAAAAGGTGGACTGTAATTAATCCTAATATTTGTTGTGTTTTTTAAGCATTTTTTTAGCAATTCATGATTTGATTGAATTTTTATTCTTAGCTTCAGTCAGATGAGTTACAATTACAAAAAAAATTGTATGAACATCTCCAATAGTTGGGTGGTTTGAAGAGAAAAGTAATTTTGTAACTTCATAGATAGGTTCTAGCAGAGCTATTATAGTATTAATATTATCCTAGTTTTAATCTGTCATATATAAACTTTTAAGTTGTGGGATCGAGACTACTAATATATCTGTCATTTCTTTGATTCTGCACAACTTATTTAATATCAAATACAATGCATTCTATCTCATTTTATAGTCAAGCTCAGGTATTAGAAATGATTTGTCTTTTATTGTGAAGATCTTTTTTAATTTTTCTAAATATGGCTAGAAGCAACGAATACAGCTTGCAAATTTCCAGGCCTTTTTTTTGATTCATTAACTTCAGAAAGTCTGTCTACACCGCAAGGTTGAGAACATGAGCCACACACCAAAATCAGTAGAAAGCAGTATTTTCATAATGATATTCTAACATACTTGTAAGTTAATTACTACAGGCATCCATATTGCTGGTATTGTCTATAGTTGCTAATAGAAGGTTTTTTGCTAACCCAAAATCTTTGATTAATTTGAAGATTAATTTTGCTAGATAAAGACCCATATACTTTTTATAGAGGGGAATAAAGTTGAAAAGTATATGCTACATCTGCTACTCATTATTAATCCAATGCAACATAATTGAAAGAAATGCTTGGTTTGTACAAGAAGACCATGCATCAATTGTTATTGAAACCTTATAGCTAAATTTGTTGAAATAATTATGCAGCTTTTCTCATTCATATTTATAGAACTGCCAAATATAGGCTAAGATCATTTGTCTTGTAGGAAGCTTATAACGTGGGTTAAGTTCAAAAATCAATATACAAAAATCTTCATCTTCAATGATGCAAAATACCTGTTGGTTACAAACAATCTATCAGACAAAGAGCCTATTTAGTCTTTTTACTTTGTTTATATCTTGAACACTATATACTCTACAACTTGTAAATCAGATAATTGTAGACATTTATGGTATTCGGAGTTGTGGTTATTTTCGATATACCTTTTAATAGTACTAATACTAGTTTTGCTTCTATATTGAGAATTACATAGTTTACAGTGAATCTATTTTTTATCAGGAGACTGGTTAAAGTAGTTCCAAAGAGAGTGTGTATTTTTATATCACTTAGAACTACATTCATTACTAGAATCATCTAGAGAAAAAAGAATATTACAGATAGGTGCAGCATCTTGTAAAGATATAAAATTTTCATTGGATATGTTGCAACTAATAGGGTTTGTGAAGGTTTTAAATTTTTGCCAAAAGGCATAGTATAGAGCAATACTTTTATACTTATGAAAACAAAAGTAATAAACAAAATCGCGATGCAATTAAACAAAACACACCGCATTCTCAACAAAAAGAACAAAAGAAACAATTATTAACAATAGAACAAAAAAAAAATTTAGACTGTGAGTATTTTGTTTGATGCGATTATATGATAGTTTAATTAGGAATTTTTATAATATAGATTCAGACTAGTAATTAATAGGTTTTGTAATTATGTCAGATCCTAATTATTGATTGAAAATTAGATGAAACAAGGGCCCATATTAGAGATGTTTATAATCAATATTATTTGTTTTAATAGTGAACTTGGGCTTATAATTTTAGTGCTTTGGCTTTTGTTTGGGTTTATTATTTAAAGCTATTTTTCATATTAGCAGAAAGGTAGTAATTAACAAATAATTTAGAAGATACGAAACTGGTATAGTCTAAAATATAGCAAAGTTTGAATGATCAATTTTAGCAAGTATATTAAGTATTGCTTTGGATTTTTGATAAAAAAATAAATTTATGTTTAGCCTTTTATATACCAATTTCCATTATCATGATTGTTAATAAAGATTTATAAATAGAGAGAAACCAGACTAATAACTTCTAGTCTGATGTAATTCTCCAACGATTATTCTACCATTAATTAACAAAAAATTGCTGCACATATTTAATTAATTTTGTTTAAACTTTACCAATCAGAATCTTATAATATAATTTAATCGCTCAATTAGTAAAATTTAGGATGAGAATGGCTATCTTTACTATTAATGACTAGCGATCCCTCTATATAGTACCAAAAAGACAAGAAAATCATCACACAAAAATGATATATGTACTCATTTTTAACTCTAAAAATGTAATAGTATATGAGTGCAGCCAAAGGAAAAGGGTATCTCTGTTTTTAATCAATTATTGATTTAATAATTGATTAAAAAATGGAGATGCTCTTTTCTCTTAGCAGCACTCATATAATAGATAAAAAAAGTCTAGAATGCATGAAAATCATTACATAATACGGAGAAATTCTTATTTAAATTTTGAGTAGTGTTTTTGATTCGAATTTATTAAATCTTTATTTGAAATGTCAAAAATGATATTTATTTCTATCATATGATGATATGGACTAGTTTTAGACTGGTTCTGAATGGTCTATGAAAAGTCTAGTTCAGAACCGGTCTGGACCCAGTTCCTGTGGACTACTTAACATCTCTAATCATAACATATACTATCAGAATAATCTGGTATTGTAAAATAGTTTTTTTATATAATGCACACCAGATAAAGAATCAGTTGTGTAATATTGACGGTCACTCCTGTAATAGCCAGTATTACGATCTAGAAAGAGCTGTAA